AAGAACTAGGAAGTGGGATGATGATAAAGGGGGAGTAGGAATGGTAGAGAATGAGAGGAAAGGGAGAGAAGGGGAGAGGGGGATAGGGATGTAGATGGAGGTGGGGGAGTGGGGGGAGGAGTCTTTCATACGATCCGACTACGTGGTGTATGTGTCGTGCAATTACTTACATACATACAAATGTGGAATAGATTGATAAATATGTAGATATATATATAGAGAGATATGGATATAGGCCTACAGTGCGTTTTTTTTTTCTCTCTAAGTATGAACAGCACACTCCTCTTTCACCTTCCTTTCCCTACCTCTCTCTTCATTTCCTTTCCTCTCCTTTCCCTCCCCCTGTCCCTCACTCTAACCCCCTACCCCCACCCATCTTTCCCCTCCCACCCCCTCTCCACTTTCCTCCTTCCCCCCTCCCACCCCCATTCCACCTTCCCCCTTCCCCCTTTAAACTCCCTTCCCCCTCCCACCCCCCACTCCACCCTTCCCCCCTCAACTCCCTTCCCCCTCCCACCCCAACTCCACCTTCCACCTTCCCCCTTCCCCCCTCGACTCCTCCTTCCCCCCTTCCCCCCTTCCCCCTCCCCCTTCCCCCCTCCCCCACCGGAATTACACCTCGCGCAAGGAAGTGTCTGAGCGCCTTCGTAAGTATCTAAACAAGTTGCCTGATTGTCCCCCAACAGCTTCGTGAGCCGGAGGGGGGCGGGGGGCGGGTGCGTCGTCTCCCGATGCTGGGATGCTGGGATCTGGTGTCGCTGCGATGCTGTGATTTCGTGGTGCGGTGAGACTTGTGATCTGGTGATGCTGTGATTGGTGGTCCTGTGAGGCTGTGATTGGTGGTGCTGTGAGGCTGTGATTGGTGGCGCTGTGAGGCTGTGATCTGGTGATGCTGTGATTGGTGGTGCTGTGAGGCTGTGATGTGTTGGTGCTGTGAGGCTGTGATCTGGTGGTGCTGTGAGGCTGTGATTGGTGGCGCTGTGAGGCTGTGATCTGGTGGTGCTGTGAGGCTGTGATCTGTTGGTGCTGTGAGGCTGTGATTGGTGGTGCTGTGAGGCTGTGACTGGTGGTGCTGTGAGGCTGTAATCTGGTGGTGCTGTGAGGCTGTGATTGGTGGTGCTGTGAGGCTGTAATTGGTGGTGCTGTGAGGCTGTGATTGGTGGTGCTGTGAGGCTGTGATTGGTGGCGCTGTGAGGCTGTGATCTGGTGGTGCTGTGAGGCTGTGATCTGTTGGTGCTGTGAGGCTGTGATTGGTGGTGCTGTGAGGCTGTGACTGGTGGTGCTGTGAGGCTGTAATCTGGTGGTGCTGTGAGGCTGTGATTGGTGGTGCTGTGAGGCTGTGATTGGTGGTGCTGTGAGGCTGTGATTGGTGGTGCTGTGAGGCTGTGATTGGTGGTGCTGTGAGGCTGTGATCTGGTGGTGCTGTGAGGCTGTGACCTGGTGGTGCTGTGAGGCTGTGATCTGTTGGTGCTGTGAGGCTGTGATTGGTGGTGCTGTGAGGCTGTGATTGGTGGTGCTGTGAGGCTGTGATTGGTGGCGCTGTGAGGCTGTGATCTGGTGGTGCTGTGAGGCTGTGATTGGTGGTGCTGTGAGGCTGTGATTGGTGGTGCTGTGAGGCTGTGATTGGTGGCGCTGTGAGGCTGTGATCTGGTGGTGCTGTGAGGCTGTGATCTGTTGATGCTGTAAGGCTGTGATTGGTGGTACTGTGAGGCTGTGATCTGGTGGTGCTGTGAGGCTGTGATCTGGTGGTGCTGTGAGGCTGTGATTGGTGGTGCTGTGAGGCTGTGATTGGTGGTGCTGTGAGGCTGTGATCTGGTGGTGCTGTGAGGCTGTGATCTGGAGGTGTTGTGAGGCTGTGATTGGTGGTGCTGTGAGGCTGTGATTGGTGGTGCTGTGAGGCTGTGATCTGGAGGTGCTGTGAGGCTGTGATTGGTGGTGCTGTGAGGCTGTGATTGGTGGTGCTGTGAGGCTATGATTGGTGGCGCTGTGAGGCTGTGATCTGGAGGTGCTGTGAGGCTGTGATTGGTGGTGCTGTGAGGCTGTGATCTGGTGGTGCTGTGAGGCTGTGATTGGTGTGCTGTAAGGCTGTGATCTGGTGGTGCTGTGAGGCTGTGATTGGTGTGCCGTGAGGCTGTGATTGGTGGTGGTGTGAGGCTGTGATCTGGTGGTGCTGTGAGGCTGTGATTGGTGGTGCTGTGAGGCTGTGATTTCATGGTGCCGTGAGGCTGTGATTGGTGTGCCGTGAGTCTGTGATTGGTGTGCTGTGAGGCTGTGATTGGTGTGCCGTGAGGCTGTGATTGGTTCTGTGAGGCTGTGATCTGGCGTCGCTGTGAGGCTATAGTCTGGTGGTGCTGTGAGGCTATGATTGGTGGTGCTGTGAGGCTGTGATTGGTGGTGCTGTGAGGCTGTGATCTGGTGGTGCTGTGAGGCTGTGATCTGGTGGTGCTGTGAGGCTGTGATCTTTTGGTGCTGTGAGGCTGTGATCTGGTAGTGCTGTGAG